TAAACCCGAAACCCTAAACTCTAATACCAGAACCCTGCGTTCCCAACCTCGTGGTAAGCAAGACCATGCGATGATCGAAAGGCAGGCTGCCGCATCCGAACCCCTCCCTGGAATACCGTGCATCGTGGTCGGTAGACGACAATATCCTACGGTTTAGGGTTTAGGGTCCCTCAACCCTAAACCCTAAACTCTCAAAGCCCTAAGCCCTAAACCCTCAAAATTCTAGGAGCTCCAGCAAACACTGAGTCATCGCACTGGTGATAACAATCATTAACCGTGCTTGTAATGAGGATGATAATGTTCATAACAACAGTAGTTGTGATGATGGTGATAGCAATAATAGTACGAATAATAGCAATAAAAGTAGTCATGATAATCGTACTAGCACTAGCTATCCTAATAGAATACGTTTACACAGTAACAACTCTAGGAAAGTGGGTCCAGGCAGCTGTGCTAAAGCTTCGGGCCGAGAGACCCGAAGCCCAGACTAGGGTTTGGGGTTTAGGGATCCAGGGCTTCAGGGTAAAGGGTTTAGGGTCACTTGTATTACAAAGACTTATGTTACAAAGACCCATAAACGCTGCACCCAGTCTCCTCGCGCCGAGGTTGCGCAGGGATATCCACTTCGCGGACGTTTCCCTGCGTGGTCTGCCCCTCCTGCCAGGTATAAATGTAAACGCAATATAAGAAAGAGAGAGAGCGAGAGAGAGAGAGAGGGAGGGCTCAAGCGAGTAGTGCCTAAACATTGCAAGGCTCCTGCGGGATCTCCACAACCTTCTGCACCATCTGCACCTGATGTCACGAGCGTAAACCATCCTCAACTTGTTCAAACAATATAGTGGCCTTAAAAAATCAGAATAGGGTTTTGGGCCGGTTTGTCAATTTTTGACACTAGAATTCTCAAAGGAGCCCCCAAAAAGTATAGGTAAATCTTACGGCCCATATGTTGCCTGAAACCAAGCCTCTCTTACGCCAGATCAAGTACGGACAAACCGTTGCAGGACTCCGCAGGAGCCTATCACGCCACTTTGAACTGACTATAACTTATTTTAGGGGTTAGGGTTTAGGGTTTGACTATAACCCTTCTTCTGAATAGAAACAAGCTCTTCTAAACAGTAAGACAAAGATTGCAACAATACCACAACACCACGCCAAAGAACTGCGAGCCTTGCCCTTCAAGACGATTCTAGAATACATGTAGAACCCTGAAAGGGTTTCGGTTTAAAGGTTGAGGGCTTCATCCTATAAACCCAAACCCACGAAAAACTCATAGAAACCTCATGCCCTAAACCCTAGAACCCTAAAGCCCTAGAGCCTTAAACCCTCAAACCTCAAGCCCTAGAGCCCTAAACCCTAAGGCCCTAGAGCCCTAAACCCTAAAGCCCTGGAGCCTGGAGCCCTAAACCCTAAACCCTAAAGCCCGAAAAAGCCCTAAACTTAAACCCTAAACCCCAAAGCCCTATAGAGCCCTAGAGCCCTAAACCCTACCCTAAAGCCCTATAGAGCCCTAAACACTAGAACCCTAAAGCCCTAAATCCCTATAGAGCCCTAAACCCTAAACCCTAAACACCTATAAAGCCCTAAACCCTAAAGCCCTAAATCCGTACAGAGCCCTAAACCCTAAAGCCCTACAGAGCCCTGAAGCCTAAACCCTAAACCCTAAAGCCCTATAGAGCCCTAAACCCTAAAGCCCTACAGAGCCCTGAAGCCTAAACCCTAAACCCTAAAGCCCTAAACCCTAAACCCTAAATCCCTACAGAGCCCTAAAGCCTAAACCCAAAGCCCTAAAGCCCTATAGGGCCCTAAACCCTAAAGCCCGAAAAAAGCCCTGAAGCCTAGAACCCTAAACCCTAAACCCTAAAGCCCTAAACCCTAAACCCCTATAAAGCCCCATAAAGCCCTAAACCCTAAACCCTAAACCCCTGAACCCTAAATCCCCAAAACCCCAAAACCCTAAACCTCTGAACCCTAAATCCCCAAAACCCTAAATAGAGGCTCCAGGGTTTTTTTAGGGTTTCCCCCTAGGGTCCCTCAAGAAGCGAAACCGAGAGCCCTGAAGCCTATTATTGTGGCATTTAAATAACCTTCCTTATATATACATATACATATATATATATATATATATATTATAAAAGTCTTTCTGGAATTTATATGTAAAGTTTCTTCATGGGGTTTATACAAGTTCCCTGAAGCCTAGATCCGGCAGACCAAACCCCCACTCGCCTAATCCTGGGTCTTGTCATCGTGGCATTTATGTAAGCTTGCTTATATATACATATATATATATACATATAATTTAAGTTTCTTCATGGAATATCTATATATATATATATACACATATAAAGTGTCCTTTTTTGGATTTATGTACATTTCTTTATGGATTTTTATACGTTTCTTTATGGGCTCCTCTCGGCGGGCGTCTAGGGTTTCTTCAAGGATTTCTTCAAGGATTTCTTCAAGCACCATTTGCAGTGAAGCTGTCTTTAAGGGTTTCTTTGCTGATTTCTTCTCGGGCTACCAAAGGGGTTATCGCATATAGGGTTCTTTCTCATGAAGGGGTTTTCTGTTGGGTTGGTTTGGGGGGTTTAAAGTTTGTCAAGGGCACAGCTAAGCGTTCCTAAAGCGGGTGTCTTTAAGGCTCCTTCCAGGCCTTCTCTTAGGATTCCTTTAACGGAATGTTGGAATGGGCCCTATAAGGGCTCTTGGGTTTAAGCTTATCCGATTTAGGTGTATGTCCATGGATCTTACAAGGTAAACCCCAAACAACTTTCAGTTGAACCGGCCCCAAAATGAAATCCAGGGAACCTACAACCCTAAACTCCAAAATACGGAAAGCCTTTGAAGGAACCCTTTATTGGAACCTTAAAGGATCCCTTAAAATCCCCGCATAGTACCCTTCAAGAAACCCTAACAGGAACCCTGAGAAAGACACCTTAAATGAACCTTTAAAGGAACCCTTCAAGCAATTAACAGCACCTTGAACCCTAAACCTTAAACCCTGAACCCCTAAACCCTAAACCCCTAAACCCTAAACCCTACACCCCTAAGACCTAAACCCTAAACCCTAAAACCCTAAAACCCTAAACCCTAAACCGTGGAATGCACTTTAAGGGGGCCATTGCAGCTCGGCAGCCGCCTGCTGAAGCTGGTGAAAGCTCAGCAGAGTCTCGCCCTGCAGCGAAGACAAACGGCTGAGGCGTTTAGGGCTTTAGGGCTTTAGGGTTTTAGGGGATCAGGGTTTTGGGGGTTTGGGTTTTGGGGATGTAGGGTTTAAGGGTTTAGGTTTTGGGGATTTAGGGTTTTGGGGATTTAAGGGTTTAGGGTTTTGAGGATTTAGGGTTGAGGGCTCAAGGGGTTTGGAGTTTACTGGTTTAGGGCTTAAGGGTTTAGGGTTTAAGGGTTAAGGGTTAAGGCTTTTGGGGATTCAAGGGTTTAGGGGTTCAAGGGTTTAGTTTAAGGGCTTAGGGGTTAAGGGTAAGGTTTTGGAGTTTAGGGTTTAGCCAAAGCCAAAAACATCTTGGGGCTCTCAGAAGGTGTTTTCTGGGGTTTTCTAAAGTTGTTAAGGCGGCTTTTGGGTTTGATGGAGACATTAGGCTTTATGGGGTTTTATCAGGCTGCCTTTTGTAAGGCGTAAGGGTCTTTCGTTGGAGCCAAAACTCGGGCAGGGCTTACGGTTTAAGACTCACTGTTGAGGTTTGGGTTCAGGATTTACGGTGTAGGAGTCACCGTTGAGGTTTGGGTTCAGGGTTCCCAGAGACTCCAATATCCCTTATTAATTAAGGAGAAAAACCTTAAATCATATTAAGGATCCTACTATAATTTAAGGTATATTCCTTAATTAAGGGATATTGGAGTCTCTGGGATTAGGATACGTGCCGATGTCGCTCCTCCTTCCATGCTCTTCGGCCTACAGGCTTTCGGGTTTAGGGTTTAGGTTTAGGGCTTAGGGTTTAGGGTTTAGGGTTTAGGTGGCTCTTTCAAGCTATGCCGGCTTTGGCCCGGCGAGTAGCACGTAATCCGGTGTCCACAGAACTGTTCATGCTGAGGAGTGCAGTACCTGATGCAAGTCTATGTTCAATCTGCGATATCACGTAGCGATTGTGTAATATTCCATGTCGGCCCGAAGTGAAAGGAATCATGCTAATGAGAAAATGCGCCAACGTCGGATGCTAAGATGCAACACCGCGTGACAGCAACCTTCAAAGGCTGCAGTGGTAACGTGCTCTATCCATCACTGTCTGTCTTCCGGCTAATCGGTCATTTCCGATCGTTTTGACATTTAATTTGCCGAATGGGCTGTTTTCCTACCAACCCCCGAATGCCTATACTGGTAACCCTAAATCCTAAACCCCTGCACAAAAAGACATATTGGAAGTCTGTTGAAGTCCCAGCTCGAAGCTCACAACACATATAGGGAGTCTCTACGGCTAGGGGCCTAAAGAATTACCTAAATCATTTTGAGGGGTTCCAAAGGGCCCCGAAGCCCTATTCTAATTTTTAAGGCCCCTATATTTTGTTCCTTTAGCATTTAGAGGGTCGAAGTTCGAAGGCTTAGGGTTCTCGGTTTCGGACGCAAAACCCAGCATTGGTCAGGTTGAACTGACAAAACCTGGTGTTCGCCCGATCTTTCTGTACAGGGTTTAGGGTGTAGGTTCCCCTAAACCCTAAACCCTAAGCCTTCCCGAAACACACCCTGACAAGAGCGATCTGCTACTCGGACCGGGCCATGCTGGGCTCGCATACTCTCGGCAAATGCCGATGCGTGACTTCTCCGTGCTTGAGAACTCGATTGTGGCTGGCGGATAGTACTTGCCTTCCTCCATCATACACCCTGAACCCTAAACCCCAAATCCTAGACCATAAGCCCCAATCCCTGAACCCTAAACCCCAAACCCTAAACCCGAAACCTTCAAACCTTTCAACTGAAAGCTCTGACATCCGAAACCCTGAATGCATCTCCTGTAGGGTTCAAGGGACTTGGGCTTTGGGTTTAAAAGGGCTTGGGGATTATAGGGCTTGGGGTTTTTAGATTAAGTCATCGGGTTCGAGGGATTATAAGAATGAGGAAGCTTGAGGTTTTTAGATTAAGGCTTCGGGTTCTAGGGATTATAAGAATGAGGAATTCGGGATTCGGGTCTGAATCTTCGCCCGTAGCTCCCTGAAGCAGTCCGGTTCTTGCCTGCAGGATGTCGAACTGCCTCTTCAAATCCTCAGCGGCTTTTTCTCGCGAGGCTCCAAATGACACCGGAAGCAGAATAATCGTGCAGGTTATCTTGAATTCGCTTGTAGGATCTTTGGACTTATCATGGTTATGTCTAAGCACTTGGATTGGTGGGCGGACGGGAAAGTGCGTCTTCTCGTTCGGAATCCAACTTGTCAACGTCTACGAGGCCATACACCTTTCTTGGTCGCTCGTTCGACATAGTAAGCGCGGTTTGCAACATGAGTTGTGGCAATTATGAAAAATTGTCCGGGGCAAGTTGTAGGGTATACTAAGTGGACGTACTAAGCCTAAAGTATTCTAGTGAGGCCCCCGCTTTCTCAATGCTGGCCTTGCCTTGCATGGCTTGAAGTCTTCTTGCGATCTTGGAATCATGGCTTGAGCTTGTAGCTGAAATGGAGCGTTCCTGGTTTAGGGTTGAACAAGAAAGAATAGTGTAGGGGCCTTGATTCTTAGAATAGGGTTTTGGTGTATACTACACCTATAACTAAATTGCTATCCCTTTTGTAGGGTCCTTTACAGGTTTAGGGTTTCGGGTAGCCCTCTAAATTAGGGCCCCCTACCCTAGAGA